AAATTCAATAAGTTAGTATTTTTGCCTATTTCTTATTAATTTTATAATTGATTTTAATATTTAATTTTTTTTCTTTGTTTTTGAATTTCTAAAACCATTTTTTTTGACGTTTTGAAACTGAAATCAACTCAAAAATCAAGGATTGAATACTTTATGATATTAGCACTTGATTTAACTGAATACTTTTCTTTCAGAATAGACCAGAATGAGCTGAGAACAATGAGAATGTGGTACTTTAATCAGGCTCAAGAGAAATCAGTATTTTGACTAAAATTTTGCAGTAGTTTCAACAAAAAAAATGGAAAGGCAGGATGGTACAACACAATTGAACTGGAAAAAGTCGAGGTAAGATTTAAAAAAATGTAAAACATTGCTAATTTATGATAATGAATTCTGTGTTGCAATTGAATGATTAGTGAAAGTAATGTTATTTTTTGCACTTATGTTCAGTTGTATAAAATGAAAGTTACTTGTGTTAAAAAATATCTTGAAAACGTCATTTATATAAAGTAATATTTTGAAACGTATCAATTTGCTTACTTTAATACTAGACCATTTTTTATGGTTACTAGTTATAGTATTTTAATTAACTCATCATAATATGAATATCCGATGGGTCTATCCATGAGCTATCATAACACTATCGTGTTATTACGTTGGATGTCATAGATTTCGTTCTTTTCTATTGCCTCTTTTATTATCAATCTTACCAGATCAAACACCTCCTCTCTTTGTAAGATAAATCTTGATTTTCCAATCCATTTCTTTATAAGTCTATTGTCTATGTGTTCTTTTCCCTCCTCATCCAAAACGACTTCACTCAATTCTTTCTTCAAGCTCATTATGCTTACGAAACATAAGCGTACTGATTTTTGGAGTAAAACATTAGACCAAGGCAAAACGCAGTGGAACGAGAAATCTATTAATACCTTGATACCTTGTTTGTTTTGAAACAAATGTTTTAAAAGTAAGTGTTTGATCATATGACAGCACTATGGTTTTTTATTTGATTATTGTCAATGCTTGGAAATAATGCCTACATATAAATATCCTCTACTATTATCTTTTGGATTGAATTAGAAATTTGTTTCATTTTTTTCTCTTTTGGCTACAAAAAATAAAAATAAGAAATAAATAAATAAGAAATAAAAAGGAAAAGAAAGAAGCAGAGATATTCCTGTMGGGTCAATGAGTAAAACTAAACTCGTAACATTCGTAGCATTACTCCAGAGTAGATATTGAATGGGGTTCTGCATCATCCTCACCCTAACCCCCACCCCTCCCCCTAAATTTTGGAGTACATAATGAAAAGGAGAAAGCGGTTATTTGTGATCAATCAAGTGTTGTTGAGAGAGGTTCTGCTGGAAAAAGAGGTTGTTTCAATGAAATTGACTGGTCGGAAAGAAATCGGCAGGTGATTTGATCAAGATAAAAAGTCTCGTTTATTAATTGATGAGTTGGCCTCTTTTCTAAAGATTTTGTTTGGTAAGTGTTCTTATTGGTTGAAACTTTATCAAAGAATAGAACCGATCGTTGTCAATTAATTTAGCTCGCATGGTAGTATCTTTTCTAATAGATGATTTATTTAACATAAAATAAGGGGCTTCCCTGATGAGCATTCTGATTTGTTCTGCAAAATCAGTAAAGTGTACATTATTGTTCGGCAATTGTTTTGTCATGAAAATATAAAATATAAAAAACAAATTAAAAACAAAACCATGTGAAGGGCATCGCTGAATATACTGTATATTTTTATTGCCTTTTCTGCTTCCAATTGATCGGCGATGCTCAGCTCTGGTTATTCAAAATGGCTCTTCAAAGAGTCGCATATTGTTGTGGCTGGAATGGAAGTATTGGAGTTCACCGGTCTCATTGTTTCAGAGAGTGAATCTAAAGGACTCATTCAACCGGCACACGGTGGTCTGGTCCTGGAAGATGAGGTCTGCTTGCTGGTCTTTGTGTACAGTTTCAATCCTGAAATCATACCAGTCTTGCACTCGATTTTCGCAACTTGACTAAAACATTTCGTAACTTCCAGTCTTGATTTGTCTTAGTCCCCCCCCATCCCACCCCCCTTCCTACAGCTGCAGGGGAAAGAGTTCGATGATGCTTTAAGGTTAATAACTATTTATCACCGACATTATAGCATATTATGAATATTTTCTGACTGATAAAATTTTAAAAAAATCTTTGGTTGGTTAAAGTAATTTCTTAATAAAAATGAAATATAGAAATATAAAATATTGTGAACTGAAAGTGTGATGCAGTGCTTCARTTTAGAAGGTAAGAAGTTTATTAAAGTATAGTGCTATAAAATAAGAAAACTTTTTAGAACCCACTAAACCCTTACCTTCATCAAGTACTCTACTCACTAACTATGCBTTCCGTTAGCCTTATATTTAACAGCGACAACAATTCCTCTTGGTTCTCAAAAAATAGTCTGTAGTTTCTTCGACAACCTGAGTCTTGAATGTTATATAGTTTACACTCTGGTGGGTTTTGCGCTGTGCCCTTGAGGTAACACCCAGGTCATTATTCAACCGATAGAATCGTTGTATGCGAACTACGTCTATTACTGTCTGAACTGTTTCTTGTTTTTAACTCTTGTATAAGCGTACCCTGCAGGGTGCCAGAGGTTCCTAGCTAGTTTGTTGTTCCCTTTTCTCTTCATGTTGTTTTCGAGGAGCGAAGCAAAGGAACACCTGGCCGCTCAAGACATCTTCAACGGGCAGCCTYGCTTTAGTATTTATCGCCTCACTTTATAGTTCACTTCATGTCAAACCGGATTTTCTATGTCTCCGGATTTTCTATATAAAGCGGATCTCTTTAAAATCCTACATTAATATTGCAACGCCATGCGAAGTTTAAAATAAAAGTTCAACTCGTGGTTGCTATGCTAAACCACATTTGTTTTGTTTTTTCAAAAAAATTCCAAAAAACTGTTGATTACGGATGAATAATGATAATGGGACTAGTAAATTTTATTGCTTTTCTTGCGATTTTTTCAGTATAAGATTGCATGTCATGTACAGAAGGACGATATAAATTTTACAATAAATTAATCGAGAAAATTTGTTAGAGACAATTGAAAACATAAAAAAAACGTTTTGGATTTTTAATATTCATCGTTTTTTCAAGATTTTAGTCATTGTTTTTCAAGATTTTAGTAATATTTGAATGGGTTGAGAAAAGATAAGATCAATACCATTACTGCAACCGAATAACTGGAAATTAGCTTTTTTATTTTTATGCGATAAAAACTTATCTATAGCAAACTTTTTTTCTGTTAAAGTGTTGGGAATTCTATTTTTAACMTTTATACCACACAAGTATTTTATTTCTTGTGTGTGCGTCCGTGTCTCTCTTATTTTCTTTTTTGTTTTAACTTGGTTTGCCGAAATTAAACAATACTTGACGTGTCTCGCGTGACTTCATCCACATTCAAGACCAGAGTGGGTGGCATGGTTGGGTGGGCCAGCGGGCCWGTTTGTAATTACTTGCTGTTGTGGCTTGCTAATATCTCAAAAGAAACAAAGAGAAAGATTGTTTACAATTTTCACAAAGAGTTAAGGAAGCCCAGCTGGTGTTATTAAACTATGAGGAATAAATACCTTGTTCAGAAGAATTCTTATCCTTTTTCTGTTTCTTGTTTGAGATTTTCTGTGGAGAATCGTTTTTCMTCTTGGTTCCACGTGTGGAGGGTGTAGGGTGAGCTGTATCCAGGTGGGYACGAAGTGCATTCACACTGTCAAATTTCTCATGGCATTCGCCACAAGAAAATTCCCATTTTAAATTTGACTTATCGTTGAACTTCTTCCCACAGGTAGAGCACTCGAACAACATATCTTTCTTGTGAATGTTCTCGTGGCGTTTGAGGTTGAATAGTCTTTTGAAGGACTTTCTGCACGCTTGACACTGAAGTTTTCTGGAACATCTGATCCAATAAAACTGAAATAACTAGCTAGTTCAATGAGTTCAAAAATGTGGGATAAAATTCAAAATCCCTGCGCTCTATCGATTGGTAAACAAAAGAGTTGCTGAAACTTGTCTAACAATACRAAAACTCTGCTCGTAATTTTATGGTAATGATTTAATAAACAATTGATGTGCTCGTCCTTTTATTGATGAATAATTAATGTGACTCGTCCTGGTCTTCCTTTTGCTYGTCCTTTTTCGGAAATAATATAGCATTTATTTGTAGTTTCCAAAAGTGCACTCATTTTCATAACACTACTGTTTAACGCCYTTTTCATCTTTTCAACGGATGAATCAATAGTTTTAACCTGAATAAGAGGAAAAGATAAAACGTCTTACTTTTGTTCCTCAACTTTTTAAAAATTTGATCAGGATTGWAGCTCATCCAATTTTTTTAGCATTTCCTTAATTGCCATTTTATAATTTTTGTTTCATTTTTCCATTTTAGTTTTATAATAATGAATGAAAAAAGAGACCGGTTAATAGATAAATTGGTATCTTGGTAGTAAACGATCTTCCGAAAAAGTTTTGTAATACATATTTGGAAGGACCTTTATCATTTGTTGACAAACATCAAACAGGACAGCTACGTACTGCTACATTTTTGGTATTTTCTACATAATATCTGACAAGGCAAGTTACATAGATTTTTAAGGATCAACTCGAAAATT